GGGGGTTTGGGCAGCGGAGACACGCAGGAGCCCTGAGCCCACTCGGTGCCCTCGGCTCCCCCAGCCTGATCTGAGCTTACTCACCAGGGCCCCAAGCATCATCCACGATTGTGTCAGCTGCAGGGTCCCTGTTCAGTTGTCTCCTCCGCCTGGAACAGAGTTGGGGCAGGATTTAGGCAGGTCAGAGGCAGGCACTGGATGGGCACAGGCAGGGACAGCAGAGCAAGCTGGGGTCTAAACAGCAGTTCCACCTCCAGGGTGAACTGGCTGCAGGATGGAGGAACCAGCCCCTCCATACAGGCAGAGAACACAGGGGAATCTGGCGGGTGAAAGAGGGGCTCATGGGGACAGAGCAGGGCTTACGGTGGTGAACTCATGCTGGCAGCAGCTGGAGGTTGCGGTGAGGTCTCAGGGGATGGCAGTTCAGAGTCGATGTCGGAGATATCTGGCAGCAACAGGAGGGGAGACACGTTAGTGACTGTCCAGTCCCTGTGCTCTGTATTTGGCCCCCAGCCCTGTCACCACCTCCCCTCACCATCCATCTGGGAGCTGTTGCTCTGGCTGTCTATGTCAGGGATGTTGACCAGAAACTGCCGGTGGTCCCGGAGGATGAGCAGGGTCAGGGTCCCCTCTGTCTGCTCGATGAGCTGCTGCGTGTCAGCCAGGGACATGTCCTCACTGGTCACCCCGTTGATCTGGGGGGGCAGAGTGGGAGGCCTCAGGGCACTCCTGGTAAAGCTGCCCCGAGGAAAGCCCCACTCGAATGGAAAGTTCCAACTATTGCCTTCCCAGTCCCTTCCCAGCCCCTCCAGACCAGCTCCCATGGCTTTGCCTATCCTGGCCCCGTCCTTGTTCCTGTCACCCAGCGGGGCCTCATCCTGCACAGAGGAAACAAATTAGCAAGGCTAATTAATTCCCACATTTAGCTGCAGGGAGGGCATGCCAGGAGGCAGGGGTTGCTGAGACCTGCTTAGATGTTGGCCCAGTGCTGTCCTTCCACACAGCAGACTGATGCCAGGGAATCACGCCCCACACAGTCCACGGTGCTGTGATCTTCCCCAAAGTGCAGCAGCTTTTCCCACCAGATTGCTGGGATGAAATCCCTCCTGTTAGCTCCAGAGTCACTCTGGCCCCAGTTACCAGCAGCCATGGCTCTGCCTGGCCCATGTGTGCAAATAAAGCATCTCCCTCCTTTCTTTCCTGCTCTCCAGATACCTTAAGCATCATTTCACCTCACATACCCTGAACACCTGAGCTCCTCACACCAAGTGACATTATAGGGTCTGCCACAGGCCACCCAACCAGGACAAGCAAGCGGATGAGGTCCTACAGATAGATAGCAGCAGCCTCACACTCTCAAGCCCTGCTCCTCAGAGGGAACTTCAACCACCCCGGTATCTGTTGGAGGGCCAACACGGCAGGGCACAAGCAAGCCAGGAAGCTCCTGGACTGCGTCGATGACAACTTCCTTCTCCAAGTGAGAGAGATGCCGAGGAGGAGGGGTGCCGAGGAGGAGAGTTGCCGTGCTGGACCTTGTTCTCACCAACAGGGAGGGGCTGGGGGGAATGTGATGCTCAAGGGCAGCCTTGGCTGCAGCGACCAGGGGATGG